AGGGGTCAGCCATAATCTTACCTGCACGCCTCACGGTCCTGGAGGCGTACAGGTCCTGGAGGCGTACAGGTAAGGTGCAACATTACAACTATAGCTGCACAGTTAATCAAAATATAATGGAAATCTCAATTTGCAATATCCAAATCATTAAGGCTGCAATTTTTTAGGAAGTACTGTAGCGATGCAGTGAAGTCCTCGCCTACAAATCTTCTCCAGATGTGAGAAAACATCATTGTGATTTTAATTTTTAGTTTTTCAGTAGACATGAAAATGTGTGTTATTTGAAAATATTTTGTTATATTTTGTAGATCTATACTGAAAAAGTAGTTTGTTGTCCAATCGAACTGCATTGTGTTTGATGATCCATGATTCTGCCCTTACGGTCTATAAAACCACTTAAAATATTTTCAGAGCCTTTAAAATTTGTTTTTAAATCAACGTTGTGGATTGTCAGCTTGCCATTTGTCCTCTCTTTTACCAGATACAGACTATTGGAGGATTCCTTCATCAACACATTGCTCTGTAGTGCCACTAGCAGCCAAATCATTTAACCTTTAAACAATTCATCAATTCATCAAAATGTTTGAGGTTGAATTCTTATTCCACAAAACTGAACTTAAGCAGGAATCTGTGCACAGCTTGGTTAGTAGTTATAGTTTTAATCAGTAATGCGTACTGAGCTTGATACTGAGGCAGAGTGAGGTCTTGCAGAGTTTTATCTGTTTGTTTTTGCAGTCATCCATTAAACTGTCTGAGCCTTTGACTGCTTCTTGTTCTCCTCTCTCTTCCTCCTCATCTGCTTTTCTCTCCTCACCATATCCTGCTCTTTGCCTCCTCTCGACTTCCCACCGAGTGACCTCTGAATGATTTAATACATTCAGTTAAACGGCGCCTTATACATAAAGGTACCGTTGTTCAGTGCGTAATGTCCCTGATTGTTTGTGTGTTTTTTAGGAGCTGTCGAGCTGCGGCTGGAACAAGAAGGAGAAGCACAGCTCTGCTCCAAATGTTGTGGCCTTCACTCGCAGGTTCAACCAGGTGAGACGCATACCGGTACTCAGTTTGCACTTATGTCACATTCTGTACTACCTCGGGTCTCCCACAAAAGGAGAGAGAAAACAATCCCTTATGCAATGTTTAAGATTTATGAGCTGTGGTCATCTAGCAACGGAGAGATTACAGCTCTTCTTTCCATCATGTCCTCTGCCTCCATCCTCCAAGTACTAAATCATTGCTCTAGCTCTCCCAGAGGTGGCTGTTTTTGAAGCCCTGCTTGTCATGGCAGCTCCTAATAATGTTCTCCCTGCTAGTCCTCATAAATAGTCCCCAGGTGGAACAGGTCAGCAGGAGGAAAGCGGTTTATTTAGTCCTCAGCTGGTCCTTGGTCCTGGCATTCATTAACTCATTAATGTGCACGTGTAGGTACATGTCCAAATGTATGCAGGAGTGTGTATGGCATGCTCCCTCAGTGCCCTGTGAAATCATCAACAGGAAGTTGTGGGTGATGATGTAAGGGGCAGCCATGCCCTTTAATCCCCTTCCAGTGTTTTTGCCAGGCTCCTTAAGACCCACTTTACTGCCCTCCAGTATAAATATGAGATGATCTAACAAGAATGTGTTGCTGTGGAAACTTCTCCATGTATAGCCGATCCCAAACGGTGATTCAAGATGTTAGCTGCACGCATTTCAGCTGGTGGGAGCCAAGAAAAATGAGCTTTTTGGATAATAGGACTTGGACTGGGAGGGCAGAGAGTCCCAGAAAGCTCCTTAGCATGAGCAGGAGCCATATTCCTCTTCCTTTAGTCCTCGTTTTGTTGGCACTATACGCTTTGGGAGCCAACGAAGCAGAAGAGAGCTGGCCAGTCTTTAGCAGGCAGCAAGTAGAGAATAATTCAGAACCCATTATGATCAATGACCAATAATCTGGCTTATTGAGTTTTGTGCTGAGACAAATCGGCATTTTGCGTACAGTAGTAAAAAAAAAAGTGTTTTTATTCAGAAAAAATAAGAAGAATGATTAAAAAATTTGTGGTGATGATAACCAAATGGGAATAGACCATATTATCATCAAAAGGAATACCTAAATTCAACTGAAATAGCCATAAAATAATCATCATATTTTATCATAACACCATTAGGTGCAAGGTATTGTTATTTAAATTTTAGGTAAAATATTACCAATTACAAACTTATGGGGGTCAGATAACAGTAAAGGACTGAAGTGACTTATTCTCAAAAGTGCAATTAAACGCTTAAATGCGCAGCATCGCCAAGTTATTCCAACTCATTGACCACTAATGGTGCAATGACTTCTGGGTCATTCTTTATACAGGTTTGTAAATTAAATTTCAACCACTGAACAGGCCTTAGCACATAAGGGATCAGATCACCTCAAGTCTGTCAGTCAGCTGTAGTCCCCATCTTTGGCCAGATCTCCGTCCCATCCCTTCCTCCCCTCAGGCCATTAAATGGGTCGATCCAGATCTATCAGCTTTGTCTGGATCCGTCTGCTTCCGCTTATTTATGATTATTGAAGCGCTGGGGCCTCGCAGCTCCATCTGGAGGTCTTGATACGCACATAAACGCAGCCCCGAAGACATGATCTTCGCTTCAGGCTGTAATATGAGCTCTGTCGAGACAGGACTTTGTCTGCACAACCCCCCCTACCCAAAACCCTCACTCTCTCACATACATGCACTTATGATTGCAGTTATGTAGAGCATTGCCATTCTGAGTGATCTCATCACAGTGCAGTTTTGGAGGCCAAGACTGACGAAGACACAGGCCCTGTAATGAACCCCAGTGGTATAGCGATTTGGAGAGACATGCTATGTCCAGATTCACCTCAGATATCAAGTTAGACCACTGAGGAAACTAAATGTGAAGCTGCAGCATGTTTTGCTCTCAGATTGGAATCACATTTTACAGTCAATGGAAACTCCTGTCTACTGTAAACTGAAGTTTTTTTTATCTTGAGAGTTGGAGCTGCCTCAAGGAAAGAGATGCAAATGAAAGTAGAAGCCTGGGGAAGTCAGGGTCCACCATCTATGCATCGTCTGCCCATTTTCACTACCTCATCTTCTTTACAGACCTCTCCCCATAAAACGAAGAAAATTAAACACACATGGTTTCCTGGAGATACAGTACCTACATCCATTGAACCTAGTTTAAGGTGTGTGTGTGTGTGTGTGTGTGTGTGTGTGTGTGTGTGTGTGTGTCTCGTGTTTA